TACCAAGGACTGTATGCACAAGGACATCGCCTGGCTGTGCGCTGCCAAGATGGTGTACTCAAACGAGAGTGCATTTATCTAGAGTTTAGTATTGACTTATTTGCTATTTGTATACTAATCTACCTTTGCGGTACAGCGGTGTTCTGGCGGAGGCTGCTCCACACTTTGCGTTTTGACGCCTGCCGCTCACCAGAGAGCAGCAGAGAAGAGAGCAGCCTCGCCAGACACCGCAGTCCTGTCGCGGCCTTTTGCCCGGCACTTACGTGTTTACGTTACTTCCTGATTACTTTCCTAAAGTTGATACTTAAGTGTATTTACATTTAAATGGCTCCTACTCTTAGAAGCGATCGACACATGGAGAACAATCCCCCCGTGACGAACTCTACGTCACCACTGTAATCCGCGCAGCACTCAGAATCCGGGGGAGAAACTATCGAGCACATTTTTTTTCTTGGCTCTGCAAGAGAACATCCGCACAGTAGCAGATGTTCAGACGTATGATTTGATTGAAGTTACACCTGGAATTGTCATTTTGCAGATGACGTCTAGACAAATGAGACGTCCGTGTTGGAGGGATCTTCGTTGGTGTAATAGTAGAAGTTCAGGACCATCGGTCGAGAAGTGTGTCTACGTTGAACTGGGGGATCTGCCGGCTCGCTCCGTTGAGGGACATCCCGGTGCTGCTTCCTGTAATACCGGACACGTTCTTTCTCGTTTTTCTTAAGCCGTCGCTCCTCACGTCTCCGTCGTACTGCAGTTTTACTGCAAGAAAACTTCTTCTTCAGGTGCCTCTTAAGCGCAGTAGGCGACGATAGATTTTTCAAAAAAAAAAAGAGACAAACTCGAACCTTGTGTACTGGTGCAGTTCGAACTGTACACGGTAGGCCGTGTATACACGAACTGATGAAAATTATTGAATCAAATGGTGTTTTGCGGCTCAATCCCGATCATTTCGATCCACACTGGCGAATTAGAAGGTTTGATGAAACATCACTTACTCCTCGAATAGCAGAACCAGCAACGATTCAAACTTCTTCACGTCGTCGCCCTCGCAGGAGCCATCGTGCAAATCAGGGTGTATCCGGCACAGCTCGCGACCCCGTTCTCAGTGAACGAATCGATAGAAATCACCCAGCGACTCCACCACGGGCGTGGGGCCGAGACACTGATGCTGTGGACGGTAACACTGATCTGCCTTCGTTTAATTCAATTTTCTCCTTTTTCAACATTTACCAGGCACCAGCTTCGACATTAGATATTGATCAAGAGGCCCAGACATTCCAAGACGTGTTCACACCAGCACGGACATGGGGATATGCTGGACTACGGCCACTTCAGTAACGTTAGTTTAAACTATAATACAGTTAAGTTATATAATTCATGAAATTGGTGTAGATTTACCTCGTTCCACACGACACACTTGTATTGTACTTTTGCCACTGGGCACGTAACAATCTCTTCGTCCCTCAGCGGCTCGCCTTGTCGAGGACAAACTGTGAAACCTGAGCTATGCTATGACTGCACGTGTATACGATACAGCAATAACTTCAATCAAATCATACGTCTGAACATCTGCTACTGTGCGGATGTTCTCTTGCAGAGCCAAGAAAAAAAATGTGCTCGATAGTTTCTCCCGGCTACACATTATTCTTTCCCCTAACCCTCCTCTAATAATTTGTAAATACTACTGTAAAAATAGAATCAAATCTTCGCGTCCTGCTTTTTTCAGCTTAAACCTTCAGGAAGGCCAGTGAGGGTTAGTTATGATTGGTAGAAAACCGTGTCAGAAGGTTTGATTTGGTTGGTTTCTTCACATTTCTGCACGATTGTGAAGATTATTAAAATAATCTTAATTCTAATCCTGTCCGTGATAATCATTTTGTTGGAGTTGAACCGATGGGGGCATATGAAGCGCTGGCGATGGCGCAGAGCGCGCAGTTGTACCTGCTTGTAGGGATTCTGGGGTTCGTTGTTTATCTTCTGCTGGTGTTGTCCTACTTCCTCGTGCCCAACATCAAGGCGCAGCATCCGGCCGCCGACCTCGTGGTGTGGCACGCGGGATGCGGGCTCGTTTTGTCCGCCGGTTTCGTCTTCGCCTTTGCGCTGCAGCGGCAGGACGTGGAGCCCGAGGACGATGAGCTAATTCGTCGGCAGTGCTCAATACTGGGCCCTTTCAATCAGTTTTTCCTACTGGCGGGCGTCTGCTGGTACCTCATGCTTTCGCTCGACCTGCTCGTGGCGCTGGTAAACCCTTGGATGGGCTACAGCTGCAAGTCGTGGGCGTACCACACCATGCACGTATTTCTTGTAAAGTCTAAAATAACTTTTATTGATGTGCTGACTGCGGTCTGTTTGCTACGTTAGTGTGTGGAGCGCGAGCACCGTATCCGCCTTACTACTGCGCCAGCTCAATCTCTTTGGCCTGTCGTCGCTCAACGTCTGCTGGATCAAGCGCACCAACGACCCGGTGCAGGTGAATACAGTCAACTGGGTTTTTCTCTTCGTCATTGTGGGCGCCACCTGCGTGCTGTCGTTTGCGGTACTGGTGTTCGCAAGCTTCCGCTTCGTCAGACGCCAACTGGATGTCACATATCGCGCCAAGCGCCGCAACTTGATGCAGTATTACCGGTATTTACTGATATTTGCGGGTCATTGGGCGGCGTGTGCCGCGCTGTATTACGCAGCGTATCTTCAAGAATTTGACGGCAAGATGGCGAAACACTTCGAGCTCGCGTTCGCTCTGGTGTTTGGATCTTACCCTGTGATGCTTCTCATTGTGTGGATTCTAAACACGGAATTATACCAGAATTTCTCCAGCGAGAACAACCTCTCGAAATCCGAACGAGGAGCTGGAGACTCGACCAGTACAGAGCACTTTAGCGCTGCCTTACGCAAAGATCTGATGCGCTACACGACTGCAGGGATCCGTTGCAGCATTTGTGAGTCCCCTGCAGACAGCTTACGTTCACCACTACTGAGTCTGGCGCGAGATCGCTTCGGTTCACTTGATCGCACTGCGGCATTATCATTTCTGCAAATGGAAGAGGGTGATTCCGCTGGCCTCTACCACGAGAAGAAGCGCTTGGCAACTACGGTGTACAATGGCGAGTATCGGTATTACGAGAAGCTGGGCTTCACTGACTATGCGCCCAAAGTGTTCCAGAACATCCGCGAGATCTGTGGAATCGACAACGAAATGTACGAGCAGTCGTTCGCCGATACTTTACTGGAGCGTGCGTCAGAGGGTAAATCTGGGATGCTGTTTTACTTCACAAGTGACCGGAGGTATCTGGTCAAAACAATGACGAAGAAAGAGCACTCGTTCCTGCTTGAGGTGCTCCCACTGTTCCACCAGTACATTTTGAAGCAGCCGAACTCGCTCTTGTGTCGCTTCCTGGGCTGCCACTCGATGCAACTTCCCGTAGGCTGGAACAAGATGTTTTTCGTTGTAATGGAGAATATCTTTCCGGATGGTCCCGTCGATGAGCGCTATGACCTTAAGGGTATCTTCCACCAGTCGAACTTCAGATACCAAGAAGGCATCCCTACGCCAGTATCAAGCGATTGGAGTCGCAGTGGTAGGGAAGAAGAAAGGATGGTTCTGGAGGAAGTTGAAGGAATGTTGAGTGAGAGCCAAAGTGTGGACAGTGAACTGGGACAGGTTACAGAGAAGCAGCCGCTACTGCGTCGTGGGAGCTCGCGTCCTTCACTCAAATACGACAACGACTTTGTAATTCGGCGTGCTTCACTTTGTGTGAATCCAACGACCCGCGCAAATCTGCTCGCGCAGGTAACAAGTGACTGTGGATTCCTTCAGGAATTAGGAATTATGGACTACAGCTGCCTGCTCGGTATCCGGCATTACAACCGTCGCATTGAACCCGACATCATGGACAATCTGGCGCACAACGCGATTGTATCGGCAGATCAGTCCACCGTCTACTACCTTGGCTTTGCTGACATCTTGCAACACTACAATATTGGATGGAAAATCCAGCACTGCTTGCTGGCGGCTGTAGTTGACAAGCGACAAATCACTGCACTTCCACCCGCTGAGTATGCGCTGCGCTTTTTGAACTTCATCCACGAGTATCTACTGCGAGATCCAGAGGGATCACATGTTCGCTCGTACGGGAGCATTGGATACTCGCCTTCCAGCTTCGTTCGATAAAGGTGATCACTTGACGACTGCTTCCTGAAGGCAACATCAGTGCACAATCAGTAAATCTCGTTTTGTGCGTCTCGCTCATCTCTCGCTAGTAAAACATGGAAAACCACACACTAGCTAGGAGAAAGCTAGCGCTCCAAAAATCCTGGTCAGCCTTGTGCTGTGTGGTTCTTCTTGGCCCGTGCTCGGAGGTGGCAAGCGAAAGAGAAGACAAGCTGATGGTGATGATGACGATGGCCTCAACCGTTACAAGGTCAAAATTGCCACACACGTTACAAGGTCAAAATTGCCACACACGGGCATTAAACCGTCCTACTATTAGTGTGCAAGTAACCATGCAGAACAATGCCGAGTTGCAGCGCACACTTAACGAGCTGTGCACGGATCTCTTCGCTACCTCTGCAATAGACAACTGCAGCTCCATCCTGCAGTCCCTTGCGCTGCTTGCAGAGGCGTTTCCCCATGCCCAGTCGCTTATCGGTAGACTGCTCTCCCAACCGGAAGACAACCAAGATCGACCATGGCCTATCACTGTTTCGAAGCTCTCAACCCTGTCGTCAAACTTTCTGTACAACAAGGAAACAGCTCGTAGCACGGTGTATTTGTTGGCGGTATTAGCGAACAACAACTATCTGAACCAGCGTCGCATCGTGCAGAATGTAATTGGTGTTAAACTAGAGATTAATCCCCGAAAACGTGGAGCTCTAGCAACCGGGAGTAATCTGTACGCCCTCACAGTCCCTGTCACCGTCACCAACACGTACCGGAGATGGAAGAAGCGTCAGCAAAAGCTCCAAAACTGTCGTTTACCCAGCGGCGTTCCTCCTACTCATGATGGGATCCCCATGCCGTGTTATTGCGACAATTGTCTCGGTGCAGAGCAGTTGTTATCGACTTGGCAGCAACATTTCCGCGACTTATCGCGATGGTCTCTAGACGATGACATCAAGGACGCTACAAGTAGCGCCCGCTCGCTTTCGACCAAGGAGTTTTTCCGTATGTTTCTAGAAGACTTTGAGCTTCGTGTGTGTACAGTGGGGGGCACAATGGGCAAGCAGAAGCAGACTGACGGCTCGAACCGATATCAAAGTGTGGTGTATTATCTCGTGCCACCGGAAGAAGGGGCCCCAGTGCAGTTCAGCCCTCTTCGTCATGTGAGCGCCATTGCTATTGCTGCTGAGATTGACATCGAAACCACGAGAATAGCGCTACTGCAGTCCCGTGAGAGCCCATCACTTAAGTTGCCAGAATCCAGCATTCTCGCAGCAGACCAGGTCATCCTCTTCTCTGGCACCTTGGACATTAAATCGTGTAGGCCGGAGGATCCGGAAAGTGAGGCCTCGCTTTGTTGTCAGCATCAAGCTGTGGACAGCAACGAGCTTCTACTCGCTGATTTTCTCAGGTTTGAAGAGCAGCATGGCCAGCTTGCCCAATATGACTCCCTTGTTGACGACGTGGGTGGTGAAGATAGTGAAATGGCGGAGACGACGCGACGGGTACTGCTCCGAATGCTCGCTTTTTGCGAGAGCGGTGATCGAATCCCCTTGTCCGTATTTCGTCGCTGCCTCGCCCGTTCTGTTGACTCCAAGCAGGCTGTGGATGATTCATTCACTTTCTGTAAAGTAGAAGGCATTGAGTCTGCACCACTGAAAGCAACGATCACCATGACCGCCGTATTGACTGATCAAGTTCTTCAAATTGACTGCGCTGTAACCACCGTCGAAGGCACTTCTAGCTCATTCTCAACTCGAGTCCCACAGCAAGAGCTCATTAATATGAACGACCCGGGAGACGAAGGGAATCTCAGCTTACTCTACTTATCTGACGACGCACTTGAGATCTTGATCCAGCGTTGCCGCATTTGCACCTGCGAAAATCAAGAGAATCACGTTGATGGTGATGAATTATTTTATCTGCGGTCATCTACATTTGCGGAAGACCGAAGTGTAAAACCTTCGGATGGGCATACTATCGTAGCTCATGGTAACCAGCAAGACTGCGCTGCTGTTCGTCCTCCGCTGTCTTCTAAGGCAAAGCGAGTGCTGGTAGAAATGGAGACAGTTGTGTCGGAAGAAAAGTATCGTAGATGGACTTGTGGCCGACTCACAACGGTCATGGAGAAGCTTGCAACAGTCGTAGCAGACTGCAACGCTCGTATCTCCTATCTCTCGACAGCAAAGGACAAAAAACTCGTCGTAATGCCCTCGGAAGTCCATCGGTCAGCGGTTATTTCTCGATGTCGCCACTGTCGTGATCTGCTCATTCAACTCGGCAAAAAAGTGGCATTGAAAGCGAAGCCGCTTGATACATCGGCGTCGATCTCCGAAGAAAAACCTTGGCTCATAGCCAAAATGATACACTCCTCGATCCAAGGAGTTCTCGTTCACAGTGAGAACTTTGATCCATGGGAGATTCCAGACGCACGAGTGAAGAAACTGCAATTAGACCATCGCATCTGGGCGAGCGGCTACCTGTACCCTGACGCTGCCTTTTACCGAGATTTCGAAGCACGACGACGGGAAAATAGGAAGAAGCAGCAGCAGCTCAGTCGAAAGCTGCTATTGAAGAAGAGAAAATCAAACGATGAAGCTCGAGTGAGACAGCAAAAGTCCATGCAGTCGTAGAACGAATATAACTAATTACAATGGTCACATCTCCTTCTTCGTCCACTCTCCAAACATGTGCTGGTAGTCCTCCAGTTGCCGCTGAAACACAAGTTTCAGGCAGTGAAAATTAGTAATCCCACAAAAATACACACAGTTGTTGTCCTACTCTGAGCTGGTTATTCTCCTCTAATAGACGAAGGTACGCTTCTGCCTGGCTGTCCGTCTGGCGCTTGATCGCTCTGTTCGTACATAACAAACGTTGGCCAACATTCCAAAGACACAAAACCAAGTGCCACCTACTCCAGCTCAGTGTCTCTCTGCTGTGCTTCACCCACGGCTCCTCGTAAGCAGAGTTCCAGGCCACGGGCGTAGACGTCTGCCGCCTTTTTGTATGAGGCCATGCCGTACAGCGCCTTGCCCTTCCGTGAATACGTCTTGGCCCAGTTTGGGTCCAGTATGATGGCCGCATCAGCATCAACCTTGGCCAGTTGGTACTGCCCCAATGCACAGTAGGCCGCCGAACGGTTGCTGTACAATGTAGCCGTGGGCTTACGCTCGATGCCGATTGAATACTCGCGGATAGCCGCTTGGAAGTCTTTGGATTTGAAGAACTCGTTGCCGTAGTTTTTGTGCCACGAATCATCCTCAAAAGACGGAGCACTGCGACCCTGGGGTGTGGACGTGGACAATTTGGCGTTCTCGGGCAGAGCTGCTGTCGGCGGCGCCGACCCGAAAAACCACTCCATCCTGGCCTGATTGGGTTGTTGGGTTTGCAAAACGATCTGAATATTCTAACAGTAACGGGGAAACTGCTATAATACAAGTATGCCTGTAATCGGGTCCAACTTCGATGAGAGTTGAATCTCTAAAATCGAAAAAATATTGAGCTCACAACACTCCTAAATGTATCGTCATTTCGAGGGCCCATAAATGGAGATAATTTTTTTAAGCGATCACAACTTCTTGGCTCAAAGACGCCTGGTTTGTCCGACTAATACTGGTAAGCGACATATCCATCGCCTTTGCGTTCGCGCGGGCGCTCTCAAGGTCCTTCGACTCTCCCGGTAGCATCGAGTACTGCGCCTTCTTTAATTGCAATCCACGCATTGACCTTGGGGCCATAGATGACAATGAACCACCGCTGCTTGACGTGCTTGGGGGCGAGTCCGTATCACACTCATCATCTTGCTCTTGCTGTCTCAACTTCTCCAACCGCTTCCTATCATTGAGTCCAGTGATGCCATTCCCGGCTGATGTTTCGTGTCTTTCCGAGCACGAGCCAGAAGAGCGACGGTGCTTGGTATCGTCCGTAGAAGGCATCACATCAGCATGTGCCAGGGGGTGGTGATAGATGTACATGGAGATGACAAGTACCGTGAGGCCACATCCAAACTCCAGCGACGGTTGGAAGGAGAAGAAAAGCATCGAGAAGAGCATCGTGAGCATCATCGCCATAGAGTGGGAGTACACGCAGGCGATATTGTCCAGGTATTTTAGGATAAAGCCCATGCCAATGCCACCAATGCTATTCACCACCACCACAGCCAATATCCACTTGTTGTAGCCATGAAAGAATCCCTCGGAGAAAATCTCTTCACCCTCCACTAACAGAACTCCAGCAGTGTTAAATAGAATGCCAAACACGTACATCTGCACGTTCTGCCATAGGAACGGGCAGTTCGACTTCCGCTTAAATGCCCACTCGGTGAACACACTAGCACACGACGACAATGTGACGGCCACTAGCACCAACAGTATACCAATTACAAGATCATTGGCGCTCTTGTCTGCGGCCGCATCTTCCTCTGACTGCATTTTCATTCCGCTGCTGCTGCCCTTGGTGGCCATCGCACTCTCCATTTGTCGCACGTGGTTAGATTGACTTGTGAGTACGCCCACAGCTAGTAGCACAATGGCAGTTTTGCGTAGCTCTGACAGCGGGTGCTTAAGCACGAAGCGAAAGAGCACAGCCGTGACCACAATCTTGAGGTTCCACAGCACGGAAAGCGTGGCAGCGTCCATGTAGCGCAAGATAACGTAATTGAGGTTGTTGTCGATGGTGTAAAGGAAGGAGGGGATGGCGTAATAGAAGGCCTCAATGGGCGCAAAACGCGCGGGCGGCGGTGTCTCCGTTAAGACGATGGCAGTAAGCATAACCACCAGCTTCAGCACCTCGATGAGCAGTGTGACGGTCGTGCTACTATATGGAATTTTGCCGTCCTCCTTGGACGCGCTGATGCAGAGATTACCTGAGCACATGAGCGTCGCCACCAGCAGCATGCCGCCCAGCATGCGCATGAGCTGCATTTTGTCGGGGAGAGGCAGTGCAGGTGCAGTAATGCACTCTATGTGGCGGCTGGTCCGTTTTGCGACTTAACTGTAGCCTTTTAGCTACATATTAGTTTTAGCAACTTCAAGATCGCAAGCGATGGAAGTCTACGAGGCGTACGGTGACGGCGTGGCGCGCATTCGCGAGGCGGTGATGGAGAACCAGGTGCACGATGCATGGAACCCTAGCGCTTCATGATGTGTGTGGTATCTCTAATGGAATTTGTTTGTTTGGTAGCTGCAAATGCGACAGGTGGAGCAGTCGTTGTTGGGCTTTCAGAAGGGTCTTTTGGGCGTCGAGAGGGAGATGCTGCCGGTCTACAAGCTCACGGAGCAGCTAAGAGGCACACAAAAGAACATCGATTTGAGCGTACTGGAGTTGCGTCAGATCAATGAGAATTTTGTGGCGGCACACCAGGTGCAGGGGCGAATGGCGTCTCAAACCCTCCTTAGGCTGACTGGTTGTTGTGCTTGTTACAGCTCGCTCCAGTGCTACTGAGCGGCTCCAAATTCGAGCAGGACGAGTACATCAAAGCTCTGAATAAATTGCTAGTGGCGATCAAGTTTTTGGAGGGCCATCGCTCGTTTGAAGGCTCTGGGAAGGCGCAGGACCAAACCAGAGAGCTCCTCACCCAGGTGCGACGCAAATGCTTAGCAGATTTCGTCAGTGTTGTGAGCGTCCTATCGAGAGGGGAGCGAAATGACGATGGTGGCTTGAAATGGGTGGAACCTAGCAAGCATGACGTGTCCAGAGCTGCTCAGCTGCTGGACTGTCTACTGATTTCTGGTGTCGACCCAAAGGAGCTTCTTCGAGAGTACGGCAAACAGCGCTTTGATGTGATCAGGATGTTTATCGGTGAAGATCCTTCTGGGGGATCCATGGGCTTCGATTTAAACACCCCCGCTACAGCCTTGGCCAAGCGTCTGAACGATATTGAAGTTACTATCGAGGCGGAGAGAATATTAGCGATACTCATATACTCGAATGAAGAGCTGGCCAATGCGGCATTTCGTCATTCCGCGCACCAAGTGCTGGAGTCTTGGAAGAAGGAAATTGACGTATCATTGCGCCCACCCAAACAACTTGATGCCGTTAAGCTTCTACTGGCTCATGATTTGCTACATTCCCGACTTGAAGCGCTCGAGTCAGCAGTACTTCCGCCTCTGTTGCTACGTGACCGCGAGGAAAAGGAGCTAGAAGATCCCTGGCTACTGTCGAAGGCTATACACGCCATAGTCACTGAGCTTGCTCAGACTGCAAAGCAAAAATTATTTAACTTTCAGCCGGTCCTGGTTGAGGCTTCAGGAGACCGAACAATCACCAAAAATGGCAATGTCCACCCAATTTCCAGTCACGTAAGTCTCTAACTTACGTCTGTGTCATCCCTTCAAAACGTACTTTAACACGGCTCTTGTACATTTTCCTAGAGCCTCAATTTTCTGCGCAAGGTTTGTGATCAAGCGAAGCCTCTGAAGATTCTACTTGAGAAGGACACGGATGTGACCGCCGTTGGGTTTGTTGACACGGTCGTCACTCAGCTCATCGGAGCTCTTACAGCAAAGGCTGACCAACTTAAGGGACGAGAAGGCCTAAAGCAGCTCTTCCTCGTTAACAACTTTGGGTACGTCGCCAACTCGCTTCCACACTGTATCCAGCCCGACGATGCAGATCTGGAGAAGCAGCTCCATGGGACTATCAAACCTCGCGTGGATGTCATGCGGAATGACGCTCTTGGTGCTTTCATTCGTCTAAGCTATGGCGCTTTCAAGGAGAATTTGAGCGACCCCACGGAGAAGTTGCAGTATGCAAAAGGCGGTAACGTCTTGACGCTCGAAAGCGGCAGGTTGCTGAAGGAAATTTTTTCGGTAAGAATGAAGCTCTCGGTCAATATGGAGAATACCTGAGGATCGTTTAACGCTGAATTTGCCCACAGAAGTTTAATGACCAGCTTGAAGAGCTCTACAAGACGCAGAGGACTTACGTGGTGGCTGAAGTTCCCATACGGCAGTACTTGATTCGAACTGCAGTAGACACGATCATCCCAGCATACAAGGCATTTTACGAAAAGTATGTTCGTGGTATGTGTACGTGGACGTCAACACAGTGCTTATCTCTCTCTCCCTGTTTATTTCGTGGTATGTAGATACTCGGTCATCCAGTTCTCCAGAAAGCACGCTTCCAGGTATCTGAAGTACACTCCCCCGGCAGCTCAGAACCTCTTGACAGACTTGTATTCGGGGGAGGCTTCTGCAGGAGACAAGCTCAGCGAGGTCAGCTCGTCGTAGCTATCATCACCGGATTGGAAGTCGGTGAATTGTGTTGGTAGATGCTTCTGTGACTACTGCATAGGATTCATCAGCACTGACAGCACAGAGCCCAATGAAAGTTTTAGTACAAAACTGGCAAGTATTACCAATCTATCAACACGAATACCTTAAACAGAGGCCGGTGATTTCTGGACCAGGAATTTTCAGTGTTTGCTTTAGGATGCCGTCTGACCCGATAATGGAGATCTTCCCGTGGCTAGTGTTTCCTCCTGAGTAAAAATTATATCACCGTTAGTTTCCCAAGACTTAGAGCGATATTGTCTCAAAGGCTGCCGAGAGTGTTTAAATACCTGAAAAGTCGTAATGTCCCACGTACAGAGTTCCGTCAGCCCCGCAAGCAATCCCCGACGGCCCCATTCCGCCTGAAAACTGGTAGAAGACGCTCGCGTGATAGGCATTGCTGGGTCGTTGATGGAGTCTCACAATGCGATTCTTCATGGTCTCCGTGACGAAGAGTGCACCATTGTCTGGGGATACTGCAATACCCCACGGGTATGCGAGGCACTCCATCACCAGCGGACGCAGCACTTGGCCACCGCTTGGACTCGACGCGATGCAGAAGACGCTACCTCGAGGTTTCTCGAGCGTTGTTTCGCCCAAGGGGCCGCTATCTGTGAAGAAAAGGGTGTTGTCCTGTGCGAACGCAATATCGCTGGGACCTCGGAAAGCGCGTTCCTCGTACGTCTTGACCATCACGCAAGGCTCTACAGCGTCGTCCACCCGGAGGATAGCTGCATGGCCACAGTCGGCGAGGTGTAGACGACCTTGGTGGTCGAACTGGGCTCCCAAAGGCTCCCCGCCGGAAAAGACAACGGGGGCGTGAGTGTCTGGGGGCTGATACTGGAACACCTCGCCTGTTCCTGCAGACACGTAGTAGATAGAGCCGTCACTGGCAACCAACGGGCTGCAGATCTTCGCGCCACGGCACGTGATGACATCCATGGCGAGCGGTGCGCCTCTCTAAGATCTGGATCAAATACTTATTTTTCCACCAATCATCACCAGCGATTATATTGCTAGGGGACGAGATGAGTGGCAACAAGAACCCGACCAACAAGAAGCTGGAGGAGCTAGTGGAGAAGGCAGGCGTAGACAAAAGCGTACTGGAGGATCCTAAGCGTGTTGTGTGTGACGATGTGTGGACGGAGGAGCGCGAGCGGTTGGCGCGCGAACACCTGAGCCAGGACAAGTCCACAATTCCCCAGTTCTGGCAGAGTGCGTTCGTTGGCAGTGAAATGACAATTGCATAAAGGCCGTACTACTGACAGTGTTGCTGTGTGTGTGGTAACAGACAAGTACGAAGAAGATGCAGCCAAGAGCTGGGACAAGTTCTATAAGCGCAACTCCACTAATTTTTACAAGGACCGACACTATCTTCATTTGGTGTTTGAGGACCTGGGCGTGGTGCCCCAGACCGAGGAGAAGAGGACCTTGCTGGAGGTTGGCTCCGGAGTCGGCAACGCGGCGCTGCCGCTGCTGGAGATTAATCCGGCTCTCAATATTGTGGCCATCGACTTTGCTGACTCGGCCATCGATCTACTGAAGGTGCGTACGAGAGGGATGTTTGGCTGTCTGAACGAAGTATTAACGGTTTGGTTGGCTCGCGTTGCAGACACAGCCTTTGTACGACATGGCCCGTGTGTCCGCCTCAGTGTGCGACATTACGAAGGATGCACTTCCAGACGCCGCGTTCGCTAATGGTGGCGTGGATTTTGCGCTCTTATTGTTCAGCTTGTCGGCACTGCACCCGGACAAGATGAAGGCTGCGGTAAAGAAAGTAGTTGCGGCGATCAAGCCTGGAGGCAAACTCTTCTTCCGTGACTATGGCCGATACGACCAGGCACAACTTCGCTTCCGCTCTGGCTGCAAGCTCCAGGAAAACTTTTACGTCCGCCAAGACAACACGCGAGCGTATTACTTCACAACAGAGGAGATTGCGGATATTTTCACTGAGGCAGGTCTTGTTCCGGTGGAAAACGAGTATATCCGTCGCCAGTACGCCAACAGACTGCAGAATGTCGTTCGCTTCCGTGTGTGGGTACACGCAATCTTCGAGAAGCCTCCCACCGCCACGGACACAACACAAAAATGAGTTGTTTGCCGCACTCGTGTTACTACCAAAATAATACTTCCGAGGTATATTCTCTACAGTACAGTAGACGCACGTTTTGGTACGAACAGCACCAGGCTTCATCTATCTCTTTAGGTTGCCAGGTGGTGTAACAAGTCAACGAAGACGCGGTTGTCAATCTCCGTCACGAGAGTCACGTTCGCCTCCTCAGATGGAGCATCATGGCCCCAAATGCAAGCGCCACGCTTCTCATCGGGAGCCAGGTGAATGCGACCTTTCAATGCAGCAGCATTCTTGATGTACTCTGGATGCAAGAGGATGGCGATGGCATAGGCGTCGCATGGAAAGAAGCCTTGGTTCTTGCAGAACTCTCTTGTGAACTTCCAGATCTTCTTGACATACTCACCGTTGGAGTTCACCTCCTCATGGAAAATTCTGTCGAATGTATCCCAGGGAACAGCGTTGTCCAGGCATGTCTCGAACGGCACGACGTACAGCTTCTTCGCACTGCAATGCTGATAGACAATGTCGGTGGCCTCAGGGTCGCAACAGACATTGAACTCAGCGTGTGGCGTGTGGTTGCCTTCCCCACGTGACAATCCTCCCATGACCACGAATTGCTTTACATTCGTCGTGAAGTTCGGGTCCAGCAGCATCGCCAGTGCAATGTTAGTCAGTGGACCTACTGCTGCAATAACCAACTCTCCGCTGTACTTGTGCGCCAGGTCGATCAGCGCGTGCACCGCTTCGTTGCGTCGCGGAGCAGTCAGTGGGGCTTCCGTCTTGCCCGATTCACCTCCAAGACCATCCGGGCCGTGACCCTAAGAGGAAAATGATCGCATCAGTCCTGACGTGGAAAAATCTTCACTTCAAAGTCCACGAACCGCCCACTTTGCCTCTGAGACACTAGCAACGATCGCCTTGGATGCGCCACTGTACACAGGAATTTTAGAGCGTCCAGCGGCCTGGAGAATGCTGTACATAGGTTTATAGTCGGCGGGGATACATGAACTGGATGAGTGTATCATAATGATACTGTACTATCTTTCCTAGCTTTTTAACTCACTGCGCCACGTTGTGGTTTGCTTGGTGCACGTCCACGTTACCGAAGACGGTAGTAATGCCTACGACTTGTTCGCCAGGGAAGGCATGCAGAGCCATGAGAATGGCCAGGGCGTCGTCCACGCCGGCATCGGTGTCTACAAGAAGGTGCATGGGCCAAAATGGCTTTGGATTCAGAATGAGGAGCTTTTAAATAAGAATTGTGGGTAAAATGGATCAGATTTTGATCAATTTCACCAATCATTTGAAGCCCTGATCTTACCGCAGGGGATGCTTTGTTGAGGCACCAATCAAGAACTCGTAAACCTTTATATGTTGGGGGCACCATTACCGGTAATAGGGGCACATAACCAAAAACTTTTATTACCCGCTACGCACTGTATAAAATTATATTAAGGATTGATGTCATGCCGCAAATCCTGAAAGCCACCAGCAGCGGCGGCAACATTATAACCAAACTAGCACCCTGCATGTAACGGGGTACAATCCAGTGTGCCCCAATGTTACATAAAGAGTGACCCGTCACTCTTGTGGACACCTGGTACACGGTACCAGGTGCTCTCGGAGCCAGTCAGTGCATGACTACTTAGCTCCACTATAGGTAACCTCTAGTTTGTATGAGACCCAAGCTTATCTTACTTATAAATACATCAGTCTTAAATCTACTCCTCTAAGTAGCAAACCGTTCCCACTGAGGCCGGGAACACGTGGACTTACGTTCACTCGGGTAGTTAATACCCTTAAGCACTTCCTCTGTGCAAGGTGCTGTGTGACCCCGTCACACTTGGTAGCACTAGTAGTCAATCCAACACCATCGCGGGTAGATTGAACTACCTGAATCCTCTGTGCGCTCAACGTTTGAGCCAAGATGGACCGAAGCGAGTTTCCTCGCTTGAACGACTCACAGTACGAGTCTGTTCGGAAGATGGGAGGCATCTTTGGACAAGATGTCCTTCGCAGCTTGGCGGCGGCGACGCCTGCCGAGCAACAAGAACGCGTGACCGCGTTTGAGACCTACGAGCGTGGTCTCATCGCTCACGTCCGCGGGGGCTTGGAGGCCACGATGGCCGCTCCCCAGGCAACCAGGCCTAAGCCGGTGTGGCTGAAGGTCCCCGCGTCTGAGGGGAAGGAAGGAGAGAACCTTCACTTCTGGGTCCGTGAGGTGGAGATCGCCATGAAGGCGGGTCTCATCTCGGACGAGCCAGTTCGGGTGGCGTCTTCCCTGTCCAACCTTGGTGGACGTGCCAAGCACTGGGCATACACCAGGGAGACGACATCTCCTGGATGCTTTGCATCCTGGGCTCAGCTGTGTGAGCAGCTTCGAGCCGCGTTCCTACCGGCGAACGACGAGTTCCGCCAGCGCTCACGCTTTCTCGCGTGTAAGCAAGGTAAACGTGAGCTGCAGGAGTACGCGCAAGAGATGCGCACGTTGGTGGCATCTCTGGCAGGGAATCCTCTGCCTGAAGACATTAAGCCAACAGTCTTCATGGACGGCCTGAAGGTCGGTCCTGCTCGCACCCAGCTATTCCGGGTGCAAGCGACAACTATGGAGGAGGCGATTCGAATCGCCCTCCAAGAAGAGTACAGCCACAAGCAGGCTGGTACTCTTCGGGAAGAAGAACATCGCCACGATGAGAATGGCGTTCCTCGGGAGGCGGAGCATCGCAGCAATGACGCTGTTGCTCCTGCTGTCACGCAGCCCGTCGATACCGGTGCGTACAGCGAGCCCGAGCCCATGGACTTAAGCTCAGCCGAGAGCTTGGTCCGCTGCTATGGATGCGGCGGACATGGACACTACCAGCGTGTGTGTCCCTCGCTAGTCCTCGGGAAGAAGACGGCCCGTGGGCCCCAAGTCCGGTGGCGCAGGCCACGGCCAGGTGGACGAAGACTCCCCGGCCACCAGTAGAGGCGGTATGCCCTACTGAAAAGCGCTAAGTCTTTGTGATGGGTGTGCAGGTTGTGCACACCACGGGACTTAGCCCAGAGAGACGTGGTTCTCTCAAACCGGTGAAGGGCAGTGATGGGCTGCTGGTAGTACACTCGGTGTACGGGGGTACGGTACCCCTTGAACGTTTGATGAGTTCTGGGGCGTTGATACGCCGCCGGAACGTCGCTTGGCATAGCGACATCCGACTGCACTCTATGTCAGAGTGGCGGTCATGGGCTGGTCCTTGATGGACTAGCCTTTGGTACGGTAGTATCAATGGTCCTCAACGGACCTGAACGTTTCGGCTCGATGAGCTCGCGCACCGCGGTGTCGCTCGCAGTTCTCGCCATGAACAACATGGCTGTGCCGAACATAAGACACAGCCCGGACTTTGGTGTGGCAAGGCTGAGAAGGGCCTACCAGTCCAGGTCTATGACGGAGCATTGGTGAGTCATGTTCCCACCTCCGTCATGACTGGGGCGTCTGATACAGACCGCCAGGACGCAGAAGCGTCACGGAGTTGTCAACGCGCCGACAGCTCTGCGTACAGCAAGACCATGCTCCGCTGCGGCAATGCCACGGGCATGGGTCTTTTGCCCGGCGTGTGGACCTGCTACACCAGCAGCGTCCAACGCCGAAGGTCGTCGCGCCGTACGGGCTTCGACAGTGGTTATGCCTTTAAGCGCTAACCAGGTGGGTAACTTAGGACCACACGGTCGCCCAGACCTTAACTGAAGAGGAAGGCGCTGAATGCGCTTCCTGTGTGGATAACACAGTACCACACGCAGTCGCCCAGACTATAACTGAAGAGGAAGGCATGACCATGCTTCCTGTGTGGATAACACAGTACCACACGCAGTCGCCCAGACTATAACTGAAGAGGAAGGCATGACCATGCTTCCTGTGTGGGTAACACAGTACCACACGCAGTCGCCCAGACTATAACTGAAGAGGAAGGCATTGTCCATGCTTCCTGTGTGGGTAACACAGTGCCACACGAGGTCTCGAGTGCCTCTGATGTCGTCAACGAGACATCACGACGTGGGTAACGAAGTGCCACGTCACGTCAGCCGCCGCAAGTCGGGTCTGAACCTTGTTCAGGCCGACGTCGCTTCAAGCGACTCGGAGTCCAGGGCCCGGACTCCTCTGACTCGGTCGGTGGACACCAACTCTGTCCGGTGTGTGGGCGGGTCTGCCACACCAGCCGATCCCAACACCGAAGGTCGTCGCGCCGTATGCGCTTCGACAGTGGTGGTGCCTAAGGGCATTCACCAGGTGGGTAACATAGGTCCACACTGCGGGTAACAAGTTCCGCAAGCAGTGAAGCTGCTTAAGGAGACCGACATTCGGTGCTCCGAGCGTGGGTAACAAAGTTCCACGCAAGGTCACTCAGACCATAACTGATAAGGAAGTCGCTGTATGCGCTTCCGGTGTGGGTAACAGAGTTCCACACAACCAAGGTGGGTAACAGAGTTCCACACCCAAGGCGAGTACCATAGCGCCGCACACAGAGCCATTGGCTCGAGGCGCGAGGTTGTCTTGGCCTCGCCAGACGTGAGCAACTCGCTCGACGTCAAGTCGCGCAGACTCAAACTGCTGACGCGAAGGCTGAATGCCTTCGGTCGACACGGCCGACGCGGTCGACCATACCGACGCAGTGCACATGGCGGAGAGCCGTTGCGCCTGCCAGTGGCTATTAGAAGCCACGAGAGACTCAGTAGTCTCGAGGTTAAGTGGGGGAGAGGCTCGGAAATACCTTTCCTCCCTGACTTTCCAAGAGGCAGGTAGCCGTCGTGCTGCCAGTGGCTATCACAAGCCACGAGAGACTCAATAGTCTCGAGTGTAAGTGGGGGAGAGGCTCGGAAATACCTTTCCTCCCTGGTCTTGAGGTAAGACCAAGTTCCTTACGGAACCAGGCGTCGATGTACATCGACTGCAGGCTGGAGGCGAACAGCCGGGCTAGAGCTGCGGTAGCTCTAGCCGAACAAGACATAGTGGCGAAGAAAGCCACGGGCGCAAGGTGCCTCGGAATCGCTGAGCGAATCAGCAGTGTTGGGGTTGCAAGCAACCACACACGAGGCGAAGCGCGGGCCTAGTGTAAGTCCCTTGGTCATGAACGACCTGTCGAGTAGGGTGAACGGAACGTCTCACCCGCCGACAAAGCGGTTGCGGTACGTGATGTACGCAACGCGCCGGGTATAATGGGCCGTGGAGCCATAACCCAAGTGTGGTGCACGAGTGCACACACAACTGACCAGGTGGTGGTCGAGGCAAGGCACGCAGTCGTAACTGGTGCCGCGCCGAGCATGACACCGTGGCGACGGCAGCTTGCCTCACCATGGGTTGGTACCCGTGAGTACTCGGTGTCAATGCCAGACACCAACGCCGCAGTGGCATGGTGGTGAGATATGCCCCACCACGGCCGAGTACCATCAAGGTACATGGTGTCTGTGACAGACACTGGTATAGGTGCAAAGAATATGCACCATACCACGACCCGATGCGCTCTGGACGCTGTGAGTCAACGCACGTACCGTGCATCGGCACTGGCTGCTGTCGAGCAACCTGCCAGGAGTTCCACGTAATGAACTCGTCGTGCATGACACACATGAAGTGCACGGAGCACTTATGGTAGCTGTGGTACGTATCGTACACAGCGTGCCTCGTGTACGGTCCCATGGACCTATACACTGTGCTTGCACATGCGTCGTGCATGATGCGAGCACTGGCCATGAATCTGTTCAGGCGACAGCACAGCAGAAGCTGTTGCCGCCAAACATGGCAACCTTGTGGTGGGCGTACCGCACCAAAGGTTAGTACCGTACGGTACATGGTGTCGATGGGAGACACCTACACCACGGTTGTGTACCGTCACGGTACACGGTGTCGATGAAGGACACCTTCGCGCCGTTGGTATGGTGACCAAGACGCGAAGAGAGCGTGGCAAAAGCTCCGCCCGCAAGGATGAATCCTTGCTGGAGCCAAAGGCATGGCCCGAGGTGAGCTGAGAGCTCCCTCTAGTGCTGGGGAAGGTGTTGTTCTTCTCGGTGTCGTCCCTCGCGGGAGACACCATGCTCCGGACGCGTTTGCGAGGACTGTCGTGTCCTCTGGTGCGAACTGTGGGCGAATGTCACACGTTCGGATGCTATTGCACCCTGTGCCAAAGCACTGTGCGCGCGCTAGCGCAGGAGCTAATGCAGCTCTGAGTGTAGGCTTTGCGGCCAACACAGTTGTGAGCATAGGGATGCAAATCCCAATGAGCTTTGGCAGCACAAGTCACTGTGGGTGTGACTGAGAGCCGCGCCAGTCTCGTGGCTGCTCAGTGTGAGAATTCACCTTTTGGTGTTTTAATTCTCTCACTTCTGATTGGAGAATCAGTTGTGATTGGAGAATCAGGTGAT